GAGTGGTGAAGCAATGTAAAAAGTGAGCAAATGAGAGAGTGGGTGAGATGTTATCAACAAATTTTGTTGAAAATAAGAAAAAGTTTTGGAGTGAGATTAACAAGTTAAGGAAGCCTATAGAACAAATGGATTTGTCAGTTAAAATAGGAGAGGAGAGTTATTAAATGGAGAGTTAGAGGTATTGGGAAGATGGAGGGAATATTTTGAGGAATTGTTAAATGTTGATGAAGATAGGGAAGCTGTGATTTCGTGTATAGGGCAAGGAGGAATAACATCTTGTAGGAGTGAGGAAGAGCCAGTTGTGAGTGTGGGGGGAAGTTCGTGAGGCAGTAGGTAAAATGAAAGGGGGTAAGGCAGCCGGGATTGATGTGATAAAGATAGAAATGTTAAAAGCAGGTGAGGATATAGTTTTGGAGTGGTTGGTGCAATTATTTAATAAATGTATGGAAGAGGGTAAGGTACCTAGGGATTGGCAGAGAGCATGCATAGTTCCTTTGTATAAAGGCAAAGGGGATAAAAGAGAGTGCAAAAATTATAGGGGGATAAGTCTGTTGAGTATACCTGGTAAAGTGTATGGTCGAGTTATTACTGAAAGAATTAAGAGTAAGACGGAGAATAGGATAGCAGATGAACAAGGAGGCTTTAGGAAAGGTAGGGGGTGTGTGGACCAGGTGTTTACAGTGAAACATATAAGTGAACAGTATTTAGATAAGGCTAAAGAGGTCTTTGTGGCATTTATGGATTTGGAAAAGGCGTATGACAGGGTGGATAGGGGAGCAATGTGGCAGATGTTGCAGGTGTATGGTGTAGGAGGTAGGTTACTGAAAGCAGTGAAGAGTTTTTACGAGGATAGTGAGGCTCAAGTTAGAGTATGTAGGAAAGAGGGAAATTATTTCCCAGTAAAAGTAGGCCTTAGACAAGGATGTGTGATGTCACCATGGTTGTTTAATATATTTATAGATGGGGTTGTAAGAGAAGTAAATGCGAGAGTCTTGGCAAGAGGCGTGGAGTTAAAAGATAAAGAATCACACATAAAGTGGGAGTTGTCACAGTTGCTCTTTGCTGATGACACTGTGCTCTTGGGAGATTCTGAAGAGAAGTTGCAGAGATTGGTGGATGAATTTGGTATTGTGTGCAAAAGAAGAAAATTAAAAGTGAATACAGGAAAGAGTAAGGTTATGAGGATAACAAAAAGATTAGGTGATGAAAGATTGGATATCAGATTGGAGGGAGAGAGTATGGAGGAGGTGAATGTATTCAGATATTTGGGAGTGGACATGTCAGCAGATGGGTCTATGAAAGATGAGGTGAATCATAGAATTGATGAGGGGAAAAGGGTGAGTGGTGCACTTAGGAGTCTGTGGAGACAAAGAACTTTGTCCTTGGGGGCAAAGAGGGGAATGTATGAGAGTATAGTTTTACCAACACTCTTATATGGGTGTGAAGCATGGGTGATGAATGTTGCAGCGAGGAGAAGGCTGGAGGCAGTGGAGATGTCATGTCTGAGGGCAATGTGTGGTGTGAATATAATACAGAGAATTCGTAGTTTGGAAGTTAGGAGGAGGTGCGGGATTACCAAAACTGTTGTCCAGAGGGCTGAGGAAGGGTTGTTGAGGTGGTTCGGACATGTAGAGAGAATGGAGCGAAACAGTGTGACTTCAAGAGTGTATCAGTCTGTAGTGGAAGGAAGGCGGGGTAGGGGTCGGCCTAGGAAAGGTTGGAGGGAGGGGGTAAAGGAGGTTTTGTGTGCGAGGGGCTTGGACTTCCAGCAGGCATGCGTGAGCGTGTTTGATAGGAGTGAATGGAGACAAATGGTTTTTAATACTTGACGTGCTGTTGGAGTGTAACATTTATGAAGGGGTTCAGGGAAACCGGCAGGCCGGACTTGAGTCCTGGAGATGGGAAGTACAGTGCCTGCACTCTGAAGGAGGGGTGTTAATGTTGCAGTTTAAAAACTGTAGTGTAAAGCACCCTTCTGGCAAGACAGTGATGGAGTGAATGATGGTGAAAGTTTTTCTTTTTCGGGCCACCCTGCCTTGGTGGGAATCAGGCAGTGTGACAATAAAAAAAAATAATAAATAAAGTGTATAAATTAAAGAATACCTATTCTTACTTGAAAATTTATATCAATTTAGAGCTCTGTGACTAAATCAAGGAATGATTGTTTTACAATGTAAGTAAGCAGTATATACACATGTAGAGCGTTTAACTTTTTTTTAACACCACCCGTCTCCCACCGAGGCAAGGTGACCCAAAAATGAAGAAACGAAAGCTCTTCTTTTTTTTACATTTAGTAATTTATACAGGAAAAGGGGTTACTAGCACCTTTGCTCCTTGCATTTTAGTCGCCTCTTACGACAAGCATGGCTTATGGAAGATTCTTCTCCACCTCCCTATGGACCTACCAACATCTCTACATATATTATATGTATGCTCATAGAAATAAAGCATTATCATTATTAACTTGCACAAAAAGGTAAATAAATAGAGTATATGAGTATATTCCTGTTGAGTCCCATGTGGGATCCTAACCAAAATATTGTTTCATAAATTCTGAAATCAGCACTATGTGTAAAATTGTGATATGCACAGTGAAGAACATATGGGGAAAACAAGAGTTGTTCTTAAAACCTCCATGAAAGTCAAAAAATTATTTTTAATTTTTGATTTATCAAAAATAATAGCTTTTGATATATTGTAGATGAAGGTGCTTTGTTAATGGAGAGATAGGCCTAGTTGGATATAATGAGGTTTAGACAGTTAAACAAGAGTATATGCAGCAACTTTTTCTTACCTTCAATTCTGGTTGTTAATGCATCTCAGCATCAGTGGAAGGATTGTTGTGGCCCTACTGGGCCAAGGTGAATGGTTGAGGTTCTAGGGACGAGGTGGATGGATGTGGTTCTTGGGATGAGGTGGATGGATGTGGTTCTTGGGATGAGGTAGATGGATGTGGTTCTTGGGATGAGGTGGATGGATGTGGTTCTTGGGATGAGGTGGATGGATGTGGTTCTTGGGATGAGGTGGATGGATGTGGTTCTTGGGATGAGGTGGATGGATGTGGTTCTTGGGATGAGGTGGATGGCTGTGGTTCTTAGGATGAGGCGGATGGCTGTGGTTCTTAGTCTGAGGTAGATGGATGTAAAAAACTCTTGGTAGTATAAAATTTGTCATACAACTTTGGTAGATAAAAGACTGTTGGGTAGATTTCAGTATGTACATGTTTATAGAGGGGCCACAGATATATCAGATCACTTATTAGTTGCAGCTACAGTGAGAGTAAAAGGTAGATGGGATACAAGGAAAATAGAAGCAGCAAGTATAAAAGGGAGGTGGGGGCTTAAAAACTAAAGGAGGAGGCACTTAGGGTAAGATATAAACAACTGTTGGAGTACAGATGGGCTAGTTTGAATATAGGCAATGGGGTAAAGATGTATGGGGTAAGTTTAAGAATATAGTGCTAGTGTGTTCAGCAGAGTTTGTGGTTACAGAAAAGTGGGTGCAGGGGGGAAGAAGAGTGATTGGTGGAATGATGATGTAAAGATAGTAGTAAGAGAGAAAAAGTTAGCACATGAGATGGTTTTTACAAAGTAGAAGTGATGCAAGGAGAGAGCAGTATATGGAGAGAAAAAGAGAGGTTAAGAGAGTGATGAAGCAATGTAAAAAGAGAGCAAATGAGAGTGGGTGAGATGTTATCAACAAATTTTTTTGAAAATAAGAAAAAGTTTTGGAGTGAGATTAACCCTTTCAGGGTCCAAAGGCAAAATCTGAAGGGGTGCCCCAGTGTCCAAGAAATTTTGAAAAAAAAAAAGAAAAAAAAAAATTATTTTTCTTAGTCACTGGTTTTCAAATATGTTCATTAGTCACTCGATCAACTTTGCCACTGTCTTGCATTTCGTTACGGTGAATGATTGTCAACAATGTGACATCTCATTTGTCATGCCACCGTAATGCCATTATGTCACTGGCAGTAAACACCTGCACGTCATGACGAGCACCTGCGTTGAACCTGGGCATATGTTTACGATTAGAACGCACTGTGCCACACACATCTGTCTTGTTCACTCGCAAGAAATCACTGAGTAAAGGGCTTGTGTACCAGTTATCGGTATATAATGTATGCCCCTTACCAAGATAAGGTGCCATCATGCTTCTCACTACGTCACCTGAGATACCCAATAACATCTTGGTATCTTTCAATGTTTTACATCCAGTGTATACAACAATATCCAATACCAGGCCACCGTCACAGTCACAGAGTACAAACAGTTTTATACCAAAGCGTTTCCTCTTGCTCGATATATACTGCTTGAATGACAGCCTACCTTTGAACAAAATCAAAGACTCGTCAATTACAAGATTCTTGAATGGATAAAAGTACATGTTGAACTTTTGTTTGAGATACATGAAAACATTTCTAATCTTGTATAACCTGTCACTTCTGTCAAGCCTGGTTTTGCCAGAGAAGTGCAACATACGTAACAGTAAAATAAGCCTGTTCACTGGGATGATTTCACTGAAGACCGGGGTACAAATTAGCCGATCTGTGGGCCAGTATGATTTTATATTATGCTTATAGACATGAGGCATAAGCATTATTGTTGCAAAAAGCAAATACATTTCAGCAACAGTTGTCTCTTTCCACCGGTGTAGTCTTGACTGTGGTGATATGTATCTTTGAAAAGATGCCTACTCTTTTGGAGACTTTCTTGGATATTTGCTGTATGTGTGTCTGGAATTTGAGACCAATGTTGAGTTGAAGACCTAGAAATTTGCCCTCTGTGAGTCTAGAAATGGGTGAACCATTTATCATTATGTTTAACTGTACATTTAAAGCTCTGTGTCCAAATAGCATGAAGTAGGTTTTGTCTATATCGACAGTAAGTTTGTTAGTAGTCATCCAAGTAGATATTTTCAGTAATTTGGCATTAATTTGGATGGATTTGTGTGTGAAACATCAGTAACAAATCATTACCAAACTCAAGAAGACACAAGCTCACTTGTAAGATCCACCTGTTAAGATCACCTCACCAGAGTACCCATTATCTTCAATGCTCTCCAGGAACTTTATGTAATTCTGAAAAAGATTAAAAGATTTTTATTCTTGTGATAACACCATGAGAATCTTTTTAAGAATTTTCATGATTGTTCTTAATTCTCTTCAAGGCTAAGGAAAAAATTTAGTACGTACTTGACATCACAGCTGGGTACATACATTCACATCTACCTTGTTGGAATTCATAGGTTCCAACCTAAAGTGTTAAACAAAACATTTTTCCTGCCTGGCAATAAAATGGGTACATACAATAACATCTACCTTGCTAGAGTTCACTGATTTGAAACTAAAATGTTAAAAGGAAAATACAGTGGACCCCCGCTTAACGATCACCTCCCAATGCGACCAATTATGTAAGTGTATTTATGTACGTGTATGTTTGGGGGTCTGAAATGGACTAATCTACTTCACAATATTCCTTATGGGAACAAATTCGGTCAGTACTGGCACCTGAACATACTTCTGGAATGAAAAAATATCGTTAACCGGGGGTCCACTGTATTTATTATGTTTGGAATGTGAGCAAGGTAACATTTTGTGAAGGGATTCAGGAAAACTGGTTCTGGAAGTGGGGAGTACAGTGCCTGCACTCAGAAAGAGGGTTGGGGATTTGCAGTTTGGAACAGCATATGAACTGTACAACTAGCCCTCCTCTTTCGTGAGTTCCACTTTCGCAAGCTTCAAACATTCACGAATGCCCAGCTGCCCAATCATATTTACCAAACAAATGCAGGAAAAAAGTATAGGAAAATGCTTCCAGCAGTGTCCCTACTACCCTCCCTCTTACCCCCTCAACCGGCAGTCCGCCACTCATTGTCCAGTTACTGTTTGCGTCGGTCGTGTCCAGTTGCTGTTCGTGTCCTACTGTACACGTGTGTTTGAGTGGTGGTGCAAGTATGGCCCCCAAGCAAGCAGCAACCGCTAATGATGAGCCAACCCCTAAGCGCTCAAAGAAAGTCATGAATCTGGAGGAGATGATGATATTGCTAGACAAGTGTAGGGCAGATTATTTGAGCAATTCTGCCGTTGGACAATTATTTAATGCAAACGAAAGCACAGTGCACTCTATCAAGAAAAATGAGGCGAAGATAAGGGCAGCACTAGCATCTACTGCTCCTCCCTCAGCCAAGCAAGTGTCAAGTAAGAAACAGTGCAATGTTTAAGATGGAATCAGCATTATTTGTGTGTATTTTAGACCAAAATAGAAAAGGAAATCCCATAGACAACATTGCAGTTTGTGCAAAGGAAAAGACTTTGACATTGGCTAGTGATGAGGCTAGCACCAGTGCAGAACCAGGACATCCTACCATCACCCATCTTGACTTCCTAGCAGATGAGATGAAGATGAAGATGAGTGGAGAATCAGGTTCGGCAGATCATATTTCAGCAGCTGCATTTCCTGGTGCTTTGAAAAAATCATCAGCATGCCTCTGGTATGACAGTGATGGAGTGAATGATGATGAAAGTCTTTCTTTTTTGCGTCACCCTACCTTTGCGTAAGACGGCCAGTGCGTTAAATAAAATACATATACTACTTTTTTTTTTCAACAAGTTGGCCATCTCCCACCAAGGCAGGGTGACCCAAAAAGAAAGAAAATCCCCAAAAAGAAAATACTTTCATCATCATTCAACACTATCACCTCACTCACACATAATCACTGTCTTTGCAGAGGCACCCAGATACAATTGCTTAGAAGCATATATAAAGATATATAACATACCCCTGCAAACTGCCAATATCCCAAACCCTTCCTTTAAAGTGCAGGCATTGCACTTACCATTTCCAGTACTCAAGTCCAGCTATATAAAGATAACCAGTTTCCCTGAATCCTTCACTAAATATTATCCTGCTCACACTCCTACAGCTTGTCAGGTCCCAAAAACCATTCATCTCCATTCACTCCTATCTAACATGCTCACACACGCTTGCTGGAAGTCCAAGCCCCTACCCACAAAACCTCCTTTACCCCCTCCCTCCAACCTTTCTGAGAACGACCCCTACCCCACCTTCCTTCCCCATGTCATTCTACTTTTATCCATTCTCTCTAAATGACCAAACCACCTCAACAACTCCTCTTCAGCCCTCTTCCTAATACTTTTAGTAACTCCACACCTCCTTCTAATTTCCACACTCCGAATTCTCTGAATAATATTTACACCACACATTGCCCTTAGACAAGATATCTCCACTTTCCTCCAGCCACCTCCTTGCAACCCAAGCTTCACACCCATATAAGAGTGTTGGTATCACTGCACTTTCGTACATTCCCTTCTTTGCCTCCATGGATAACGTTTTTTTGTCTCCATAGATACCTCAAGCACCACACACCTTTTTTCCTTCATCAATTCTATGGTTAACCTCATCTTTTATAAACCCATCCGCTGACAAGTCAACTCCCAAATATCTGAAAACATTCACTTCTTCCATACTCCCTCTCTCCAATGTGATATCCAATTTTTCTTTATCTAAATCATTTGATACCCTCATCACCTCACTCTTATCTATGCTCACTTTCAACTTTTTACCTTTACACACCTTCCCAAACTCGTCCACTAACCTTTGCAACTTTTCTTTAGAATTTCCCATAAGCACAGTATCATCAGCAAAAAGTAACTGTGTCAACTCCCATTTTGTATTTGATTCCCCATAATTTAATCCCACCCCTCTCCCCAATGCCTTAGGATATATTGGAATGAAGGGAATTGAGTAATGCAGTAAGGTCGTCAAAATGTTTGCTCAAGGATCTGACATTGTAGTTAAAGATGGTTATGTTATTGTTTGCACTGAGTAATGCCTTTGCTTGGTCTGCTGTATAGTAATTACAGTTGCTGTTTGATTTGTGAAATTCATTTAGTAAAAAGTTAACATCAGGATCTATGCCTGTAATCATAGGATGAGAGTAATTTAACAAACTAGATTTTCTGAGTAAAATAATATAAGAGTTATATTGAATCTACAACTAGACTTAGGAATAATACTATGTAATTATTCTAAAACTTTTAAAAATATAAAAGAACTATGGATTTATATAGAGTAGATAATTCAGTTATACACTTTGGGATCTAAATAGCACCTTAATTATTTTAACAAATGTGAGCTCATGAACTATGGTAGATATTTACAGCTAAAATAAAGGAGCTAGTGAATATAATAATCAAAGAATGAATTAAAAAAACAAAAACAGTAGTACCCCTCATATTCCAAATTTACCTACTACACTCTCCACAACATTTTTACCCACTTTAGCATTGAGATCCCCAACCACAGGTACTCTCTCACTTGGTTCAAACTCCCCATGCAGTCACTCAACATTTCCTAAAATCTCTCTCTCTACACTTCTCTCTTCTCCAGGTGCATAAATGCTTACTATAACCCACTTTTCACATCCAACCCTTATTTTACTCCACACAGTCCTTGAATTTATACATTTATATTCCCACTTTTCCTGCAATAACTTATCCTTCAACATTATTGCTACTCCTTCTTTAGCTCTAATTCTATTTGAAACCCCTGACCTAATCCCATTTCTTTCTCCCCACTGAAACTCTCCCACCCCCTTCAGCTTTGTTTCACTTAAAGCCAGGACATTCAGCTTCTTCTCATTCATAACATCCACAATCATCTCTTTCTTATCATTCACACAACATCCACACACATTCAAACATCCCACTTTGATGGTTTTCTTTTCTTTTTAGTAGGCTATATGGGAAAAGGGGTTACTAGGCCATTGTTCCTGGCATTTTAGTTGACTTTTACAACACGTATGGCTTATGGAGGAAAGATTCTTATTCGACTTCCCCATGGATATAAAAGGAAAAGCAATAAGAACAAGAACTATTAAGATAAAATCAAAGAAAACTCAGACAAGTGTGTATACATAAACGTGTACATGTATGTGTAGTGTGACCTAAGTGTAAGTAGACGTAGCAAGATGTACCTGAAATCTTGCATGTTTACGAGACAGAAAAAAGACACCAACAATCCTACCATCATGTAAAACAATAACAGGTTTTCGTTTTACACTCACTTGGCAGGACAGTAGTGCCTCCCTGGGTGCTCCTGCATCTATAGGCAGGCAATGAAAAAATAAGTAATCAAGCTGTCTGGCAGAAGGATGGTGGTTCTCTAAGGTGGGTCTACATATGTGGTACTCCCACTGGGTGAATTACTACACCCACTTCTTTTTTTTAACATTTATGACCTACACACTTTTATAAACATGTGTAGGCAAGAGGTGGGTTGCAACGTTTTTATGAAATAAGCATATGAGATGCATATGCTCACATATATTTCCAGTACAATTGTAATTTAGCTGGCATGTGCATTTTTACATGAACATACCTGTAGGGGAAGGAAGGCGGGGTAGGGGTCGTCCTCGAAAAGGTTGGAGGGAGGGGTTAAAGGAGGGTTTGTGGGAGAGGGGCTTGGACTTCCAGCAAGCATGCGTGAGCATGTTAGATAGCAGTGAATGGAGACGAATGGTATTTGGGACCTGACGAGCTGTTTGAGTATGAGCAGGGTAATATTTAGTGAAGGGATTCAGGGAAAAAGGTTATTTTTATATAGCCGGACTTGAGTACTGGAAATGGGAAGTACAATGCCTGCACTTTAACCTGTAAATGGTCCAATAGAATGTACATTCACATGTGTAGTGCTCCAAAAGTAGATCTACATTTTTTTTACAATTTTCAAATATAACAAAAAAACAAAATAGATCAAAGTTTTTTACACATTTTCAAATGTAAAAAAAAAAAAAAGAAGATCTACATTTTTACATACTATCAAATGTTGAAAAAAAGTATATATACGTTTGAACCGTTTACGGGTTAAAGGAGGGGTTTGGGATATTGGCAGTTTGGAGGGATATGCTGTGTATCTTTGTACATATATGCTTCTAAACTGTTGTGTTCTGGGCACCTCTGCAAAAACAGTGAGATGAAAGTGTTGAATGATGAAAGTATTTTCTTTTTGGGGATTTTCTTTCTTTTTGGGTCACCCTGCCTTGGTGGGAGACAGCCAT